CGTGCGGGCCCACGATGAAAAAGAAAGCGCGCTCTAACACGCTATATAACAATTTTGACAATTTCTGCTGAACATTAAGTTTAGTCAGCCAACTAGCTGAAAATATTTGTATTCCACTATCATGACTCATATGGTGATCCAAGCAACAACAACAACAAAACCAGAGCAAAAACCAAACACGTGTTCGTGCATGAGTACGAAGTTAATTATTAACCCCAAGTAGCTCTGAAAAAGGGAACGAAAAATAATTTAAAAGTAATTCAAATTTTTACAACAAAATTTTCGATAAAGAAAACAATTTTTACTTTAGTTGAACCCATATATTAAATATTAATTTAAATAAAACATATTAAAATGTGAAGATAATTTGCACAAAAGCAATTAATCAAACAAAAAAAAATCATCATTTATAAAATGCACAAATCAGTTTAAGAGACTTAATACTTAATTAACTTTAAATATTACTTGGTACAAGTAAATGGATCTTTGATCAAAAAATCACACATCATCATTTATTAACTTAATGACACTGAAACAAAATTGTTCCGAGCTTGAGACATGGTTTTATTTATCAATAAAAATGAAAAACAAATCTTCTTCTTTTTATTAAAAATTTAAAATGCAGCAACGTACCTTTAGCAGCTGTATTTATGCGGATTATTATCGTTAGACATATGTGTCTGATATAAGTAATATGTCATACCAATAAGCCTCACTCTTTTGTCCATTTATTGTCTGATGCCGCAATAGCTAGTATCATTCAATTAAAATTCATTAAATGAATACAATGTCTTAGCATTTTTAGAATCAATTGCTTTCATGACTTAGTGCTCTTTATTGGGTTAACAGTGCTTCAAGGGCCGACAACTCAAACAACAAGCATGCCAGCCAGTTTAGCGACAGGTGAACGGCAGTTCCAACATTTTTAAACTTCAATGGAATACTGTTAAATAAAAGCTCTATAAACAATTCATCTGATGTTCCCACTCAATTGATTAACTTAATTTAAAAGCAGAATAACAAAATTGTCCACAAATCTTCATCATCTCAACGCCCAATTTAACTTGAATATTCTCCAAGATTTTGTACGAACGAATATCTTTTTGAACATCGCATAGTCATGCAAAAAGTAGAACAATTTACGAAGCATGCTCTAGGCATGATTTCATTTTAATTAAATTATGTTTCTTATTTATATTGTTGTAGTTGTTGTTGTTGTTGTTGTGTGTGTTGCTCGTTTGCGCTTTTTTATAATTGCATGCAAAGGCTATAAAAGCTCAAGTCGGACAAATTATTTCATATGCAGCTACAATGCTTTGCATTAAAGTGCGAGTACACCACAGAGTACCAAGGTCAGCGTTGTGGGCAATTATCATAATTTTTTGCGCTTATTTGGCAAAACAAAGCAGCAGAGCTCGTTGGCTCTTTGCCATGCCAGCCTCAATGCCTCGACGCGCTGCTGACTTTGTTAATGGTACTTAGCTTTGGCTTTAGCTTCGACAGCGACGGCGAAACTGGAGTAAACGTGCTTTTAATTTTAGCTGAATTATTTTTAATAATTTCATTTTTTTAATAAGCCAAGCTACAAAGCGTTTTTTTTTTTTTTGTATTGCATCATCGCGCGTATTATACAAATAGAAGAAAAAATTTACAAAATTCTACTTGCTATTTTTGTTCAAGTAAGGTTAACAATAACAGCAACAGTATTAACAACAATACGCTTCAGTCGCTATAATTAATCACACAAACACCAAATCAACAACATCAAAACATTTTTGGGCTGTCTGTTCGCCGAGCCAGACGAGTTTGTTGATGATGACGCGCGACTTTTAAATGGACTGCAGTTGGGGATTTTTGAAACTCTTCTTTTGATAGACGCAAATGTATACCAACTAATTATAATAAATTGATAAATTGGCACAAACTGTTGGCAGTCGAACTCATCAATATTCGAGGAAATAAACGCGCACAACATTTTGCAAATACAAATACAAATTAGTCGCCCGATTGCTACCAGAGACAAACAACAAACAAAACATCTTGATTATGCAAAATATATTCATATACATTATACACTGTTTCAAATTGCATTGTTTATTTGCAGCTCGTGTCTAATTTATAACACTTTCACCTAATGGCTGTTAATTATGGTTTTAGCCAACATTTTGGTAGCCTAAACGAGCGCACAGCTTCAAAGCTCCAAAATTACGCAATATCAGTTAAGAAAACCTGTAAGATTGCGCGGGTCGTCTAAGAACAATGGTGCTTTAAATTTCCGAGAAAGCAAGATATGTCATTGAAGCATTTATATAAATAGCCAAAACTTCAATAGCAAGCCTGTTAGTTAAAAAGTTATAGAAAACAAAACTAGTCGCTTTAGGACAATAAAAATGGGAACAATAATAATCAAATATATTTTATTCTATTCGTCCATTAAGGATCAGAGAGTTAATCAACTTAAAAATGTGAAATTTCCTGAAATGTATGAGGAACATTAAATGCCGTTTCCTGTAAATAAAAAGTTATAAGCTTCCAAAAGGGCTGATTTATATCTCTGCAATTAAGCTATATAACTTCTTAAAAGGGATATTGCAACAACAATCGAATAGTTCTATGCAAATCGAGGGCTATTATTCTTTCACATTCACTATAAAAAAATAAAATAGATAAATAAAAAATTCCAGAAATAAATTTCAATTTCAAACTTGAAGAACACATCTTAAATTTAAGAATCTTATTTTTCTTTAAAATTTTGTGTTCAAATCTTAACTCAGTAGAAGACTTTAAAAATCTATTTTCCAACTTAAACATGTCTTTATTTGCTGCAAAAAGCCTTATTTCCAAATATAAATCTATTAAAAGAACGATGAATAATTTTCTTCGAACAACCCACGATTAAAACGTGCTGAACAGCCAACAATTTAGAAAATGGTAGCATCTGGGGTAATGAGCAGAATTAAGTGAACGCACAAGTCAAACGCCAGACACTTGAAATAAATTCAAACACGACACTGAACAAGTTTGGAGCACGCGGCGGCTACTTAATGCGAGCAGCGACTTTAACTTCGTGCCTTTTTTTCATGTATTGTTTGTAAATCTGGCTTATACCAGAATCGATAGTTTTAACAAACAACAGACTGAGCGATCTGCTATGTCTACGCAACTACTGCTACACACATGTCTACTATATACAACTATGTATATATCGTAAATGATTATCTCCCTGTCTGTTATAATGAAAGCTACAGGAATGTGTCGCCTGTCTGCGCTGTAAAATAAATGTTTATTGCTTTTTAATATTGCACATTGTCTGCATAAATTTCACGCCAGTCAACGCTGTCAGTGAAGAGCCAATCGGTTGGTCCGACCAGTTGCTTGCAATTTGGTTTTTTTTTTTTTAAATTCTTCTTCTATGCTTTTTGATTTAAAATCAAACTAAATCTGTTGCTGGTTGCTAAGAAATCCACCACCAAGTTGTTGAAACTTGAAACTCATAATTTTTAATTTATTTTATGTGATTTTTATTTGTCGATTAATCCACGAAAGCAACAATAACAACAACAACAACAACAACAGCAGCAGCTATAGCAATGGCAATGCGATAGCTGACGACGCTTTATGAAACCTAAACGTAACAAAATTTATTTGCTACCCAGGCCCAGGCAATCCGACTGGTTAAACTGAGGCCAACTCAACACATAACACGAAATCAGATTAGCATGTTTTACAGGCGCACCGAACAGGCAAAAGGAGCTGAGTGAACTAAGCCAATTGGTGTGGCATTCTTGGCCCGGTCAAAGTTTCAGGGGCGGCCGAGATACAGAGAGAGAGAGAGGGAGAGAGACGGGGCGAGGGCGACAAAGAAGTGGCAGGGATTTGGATTTGCTCGTGTTGCAAAAGTGAATGTGTTGGATGCTTTCTCTACTTTGTAATGTGCCAATTGTTTGGACAGATGAGAAAAATTATTGCCATGGACTTGGCAGTGGGGCAATTGGAGCTATAAAACATATTGCGGCCATTCGAGCTTAAGCTGCCAGTGGGTGCTGCAGCTTTCAGCAACAATGTGAGAATAAAGCCGGCTGTTTAATCAAATACTTAGCATACTTGGAATTATGTGAACGACTTTCTAGCTTTGCGTTAGTGCGTGCTCCAATTTGGTTCCTTTCTGCGTATATACTTGTATGTTGCCCTGGCCTTGTCCGAAAACAAACAGTGACGTTGCCGCTAACAACATAGGCTGGCCAAATGGCACCAAACAAGCGAACCAACAAACGGACAAACGGACAACGAGAATAACAACAATGATGGCAATTTGTTGATAAACATTTCGCTCGCAATAAATAAACAAATACGTATATTCCCTGGGTACAAAGTTGCGCCTGCTGCTTGTTTGCTAGACTCACAGTTAGCGTCAGAGCCGATCGCCTGCTGGATCGGGACATAGCCAGCCCAAAGACCCAACAGGCAACTCCATATAAATGCAAATGCTCTACACGCTGCTTGTTTGCTCGCTCGCTTGGTGCTGCTGCTGCTGCTGCTACGTTTGCTGCTTTGGGGCAATTTTTCATTTGATTCCATCTTCATATTTTATTATGCCCAAGCCGAGTCGTCGACTCGACTCGACTCGAGTCGAGTGCAAGTACGCCACGATCCGCACGGTCCGCAGCTAACTTGGCCGGCTGCCGGCCGCCCCGTCCATTTCCATTTGTCCACAGTGTCGGGTCGCAAAGCGTTTTTCTTTTTGTTGATACCAATTCCCCGATATGACAAACTATGTTTGCATTTTAATTTTTAATGCGTGTGAATTTCGCTGGCGGCGCACTTGCCCGGCGAGTGAGGGAGAAAGATGGGGAGATGCTCGTGTCATGATTTGCTGTTGCTTTTAATTGAAATTTTATGAATTTATTGCTTTAGTTTTTGTAGTGCATGGCGACCGATTTCCCAAAACGAACTAATGTTGTTTTTCCTGCTCTTTATTTTCTTTCTCATGTTCCTCCCAGATGAATCAGACGTGCAAGGTCTGTGGAGAGCCGGCGGCCGGTTTTCATTTTGGCGCGTTCACATGCGAGGGATGTAAGGTAAGTTGAAATTGAAAACATTGGCATTATATGGTCTTTGATTTGCAAAATAGAGCACATAAGTGTGATTGCAATCCTTTTGAGTGTACTCTGAGAGCTCACTTTGGGGGTGATCCCATTTGTAATTAGGTTTGACGGGAAAATTAAGCAATAAAGTTTTAAGGATAGAACTTCAACATTATTATTTATGTCATATTTTAATACACAAGTGCAAGATGTAATATCATTATGAGTTATTATTTATATAAAACAAAGGGTTGTTCTATCACTCATGAACTCATTTCAAACCTAAATAAACTAATATCAGTTATTAATGTAAGTAAACACCGAAACATCGCCTATTGATGATCTATTTTTTCAATTTGTTAGCTGCATGATATATATGGCCGATGCATCGGTCTTTGCTTACAGAAAATTACATTTGTAGACACTTTTTAGTTAATTTATTTTATTGCGCTTTAAATATATACAACTTGTCCATACAGTTGAGAAGATAGCCCAAGTCAGAATATCCACTGTCGAGTTTAAGAACAATACGACTTAAACCTTTTAAACAAGTGTTATTTTTCGGCCACAGAAACTACATCTAACTGACCCAACCGGTATAGCCATGTTCCTCAATACGTCCGTCTGTCTGTTTGTTTCTATGTAAGCTGGTATCTCATTTTGAAAGGTATTGCAACATAGGCTTATATTATTTCTGCACACAGTCAAATCAAACCGGATCGGGGCACTTTATCCCATAGCTGTCAAAGGTCAGGTTTCAAAAAAGTTATTTTTACAAAAACTGTTATTGGATAGTTTATTGGCTTACGAGTACATAAAGATAATGCGCCGTTTCGGTCTTGCTGGTTTTTCTATATCATATTCTAAGTAGAAATAGTATGTTAGGTAAAAACTGAGAAATACATTTGCAAAGGCATATAGAGTTCGGTGCGGCGAAAACTTTTACTTGTGTTTTTATTAACTTGATGTCCACAAAATAAATTCATTTTTTGAAAACTTCAAGCTAGAATTGATGCATCGAAGTTTTCATGCGATGCATCGGCAGTGCATAGAGTACTTATTTTGAATGCATCGATATACATTGATGTTTAAATTTAATTTCCATTTTTTTTTCTTTCTTACACAAATTTAATTTTAAATAACATTGGTTTCTGCTTTGGTTTAAGCCCTCGGTTACACTTTTTACCGACCTATTTTTCAGCTTAAGTAAATTTAATTCAAATAGGCAATGTTCAGAAATAGTAAACCATATATTTTCGATAGTTGGCTGTGCTTACTAATTCGCTTTAACAACTGAATCCACATTAATATGCAGATATATGTAGACTTGATCTTCATTAAACGGTCTCTATTAATAATTTTTCTTTGTTGTATTCCGTTCCACTTCAGTTTAGAATTTGTTTGAATGTAAATTTCAAATACTGATTTGAATGTGTTGCCCATTACTAATCGGATTCAATTTTTGGCTCTTGTGGCTTCTTGGATTAGTGTACATATTACATTTAATTGCAGTTAATAGTAAGAAATAGTCGTTGATCTGTTTTGAAAACTTTTCGCTTTTTTTTTGCCTATTTCTACACCGTTTTACAAATCTATAAAAAAAAAGCTTCAATTACAACTTTATTTTACAAAGAATTTTCAATATCGGGTACCGTTTCGATTATATAGCTCAACACGCTTATCTGCATCTAAAGAAAAACCATAAAACAACTCACATCGAGAGTAAGAAGCACTTATAGTTATATTTTTAGCAACCTTTTACAACTATAATTGATATTCAAACATAGTCTACAATTGATAAATCTTTAGCTCTCGGAGTAATAAGAGTAATTCCCATCACTTTTTACTTTATTTTCGATATCACGGCCATTGACATTTTAGTGCACAGCCACAAATCGCATGCCATTCGTGACAAAGCCAAAAATGATGGGGCCATTCTAAACTGGAATGCTCGGTTTATTGCGATGGTGCTGCACAACAAGATATCGCCTTGGGCTAAGTTCAAAGTTAACAAAGCGGCCACAAATAATTGATTTAAATATGCCTTAATACAAGTATTAAAAAAAGAAGAAGTTGTCTGTCTATCTGTCTGATTGAGTCTGATCTGTCTATCTGGCTTGATTCGCTCCGCTTGCCACCAAGGAGAAAAGGTCGACTAACGTACAATTTGTAGGTCAACAATATTTGATTTGTGCTTGCCTCGAATTGGCGTGGGCCGGCTAATTCAACGCCCACCAAACAAAAAGCACCGCTCCAATGATGCAGCGCGCACATAGGGCCAAAAGAGGCAGATGGAAAAACAAACAGACAGACAAACAAAAGTGAATCTGCCTTGGCTGTGTGGCACAAAATTGCTTGTAAATAGCCATTTAAATACGCGCAGTCGGTCGAAGGCAACGAAAGCAACAACGACAACAACAGCAACAGAAACAGCAGCAACTACAGCAGTCAACTGATGGTCGCTGCTCTTTCAAACGAAACTGAAAACTGAAAACCGAAAAAATCCTCCATTTCCATTTCCGACCCAGTAATCTTGATGCCCAATTAACCTTAAAAGTGGATTTTCGCATTGTTTTGGAGCTAGGCAGTTCAATTTGCGTCTCTGCCCCCGCCACCAACTTCCCCAAATCGCCAACTCCGACTCAAAACTCCACCTACGAAGAACAAAAACAAAACCAACAACAACAACAACAAAAATAAAGAGCTGCTACGCTCGGCGCATGAGTGAGTCCGACGATGACGATGACGCTAACACCGACGATGCTGACTGAATGCTGACAAACTGTCTGGCTGTCTGGCTATCTGGCTGTCTGACCGTTTGTCCGCCCGTCCGTCCGTCTGTCTGTCTGTCTGTCTGACAACGCCAACTTGATTGCAAGTTTTTGGGCCTCGCTGTGCGGTGATTTACTGCCAACATAGCAACTTGGCATAAGTGTTGCACAGCTATAACCTTTGCAACATGCTCCGACTCAGCAACAAGTCAGCCACACAGCCACACAGCCCCGGCAACAAAGTTACAGACGGCAGCAGCTACATGTTGTACTCTTTTCATGCCTCTTTGTTGTTGTTTCTGCTGCTGCTGCCGACGCCGCCGCATTGAATTAAATTGTTTGTTTGCTTTGTTGCAATTGATTGTGCCCCAGCCAACGGTTAATGGTGTAGGTGTAGGTGGATGTGCATGTCGATTTAGTTTGCAGAGCATACGCTCTGTGTGAACCAACAACAGCAACAACAACAACCAACAAGAACCATGCCCGCTGCTGATGAATCATCAGAAAAAATTTAATGAACATTGAATATGATTTTGTCGTATTGAATGACATCAGAGCCATGGCTCTGAGGGGCATGTTGAGAGGCCTGAAGAGCCTAAAGTGCACAGAACTGCGCATCAACTGAGTAGTGGAGCTGTAGTTAAAGCGTTTAAGTATCGATTAAGTATCTAAAGCATTGTGTAGCATCAAGTGGGCACGAAAATTGATAAATTTACGCTAGATCGTGCAAAACTTTTCAACAGTAGCTACTGAATCAGAAGTTATTTTATTTTAAAAACCAAAGCAAGTATCCGAAACTAAAGCGTAAGCAAATGTAGCTCAATCAATAAAAGATACAATTCAAATAATTGCTTTGTACAAACGATGTATCGAAATACCACTTTAAGGTCAAGGCTGGTCAAGGCAAGGAAATGGCTGCAGGTCTTTAATTTAGAAAAATTACTGAGTTGTGCGAAATGAAGTTTTTTTCATGGATCTAGTATTCCGCTTGTTTTTTACTACCCAATGCTTAAGGCCAATATAACTTCATCATTTTGGATGTGCATATAAATTTAAACTTCTTTGGCCAACTTCACAAACTTCCCCCAATTGGTTCTAAAGCGTCCTCTGAAAATAGGAATAGTTTTTCGAGTTAAAATGACTTAATTACTCAACAAAAGTAATCCTAAGCATTAGTTAAATCAATATAAAAATAACTTCGTTCCCACTATTTTCTTAATAAAGACCGATCAGACCAGACCCCACACCTCTGCCCTAAACAGGCAACAGCTAGCTGTCTTTATAGCTAGTTAGCTAATTATTTTGGTGGTTTTTTGATGCCTACTTGTATAGGTATCAAATGTTTATGATTAACAATCGAATCAAGAAAGAGTTAAAATCATATTAAGGACTTATATACTTGTAAGTATTGAAAATGGCCGCAACTTTAGTTTTTAGTAAGAAATTTATTATAGAATGTTAACGTATTATTAATGATAATTTACAAAATTCTTTCCTTAATACAATTCTATTTTATTCCTTATCATCAAATATATTTGGGTTACAGAACAGTTATGTTAGAAGCATCTGAATAATTCACATCTTTCTTTATCCATTCACTTTGCAGTCGTTCTTCGGCCGTTCGTACAACAATCTCTCCTCCATATCGGACTGCAAGAACAACGGTGAATGCATCATCAACAAGAAGAATCGCACGGCCTGCAAGGCGTGTCGTCTCAAGAAATGCCTCATGGTGGGCATGTCAAAGAGCGGCTCACGCTACGGACGTCGCTCCAACTGGTTCAAGATCCACTGTCTGTTGCAGGAGCAACAGCAGCAGGCGGCGGCTGCCATGGCGGCACATCACAACAGTCAGCAGGCTGGTGGCGGTGGTGGCGGTGCGAATGGTGTGAAGGCCATGACAGGCGTGCCACCGCCAGCAGCGGCTGCCGCTGCTCTCGGCATGCTTGGGCATGCCGCCGGTGCCTATCCCAGTCTCTATGCTGCGGCGGCGGGGCCGCGCAGCAAGGAAGAGCTCATGATGTTGGGCCTAGATGCCGGGGACTATGCTGCCCTGAAACATCCGGCGGTTGCATCCCCATCGGTCAGCTCACCAGACTCGCACAACTCCGACAGTTCCGTGGAGGTGAGTGTGCGTGGCAATCCGCTGCTGCACTTGGGTGCTAAGACGCCCACATCCGGTTCTGGGGGCTCTGACGGGATACAAAGTGCTGTTAGCACAGTGCCAGGTCGACCACCGCAGTTGCGCAAGGATATGCCACCGTTTCTGCCCTTGTCCTTTCCCGGCTTGGGCTCCATGCCCGTCATGCCTCCGCCTGCCTTTCTGCCACCCTCGCATCTGCTCTTTCCTGGCTACCATCCCGCACTGTATTCGCATCATCAGGGTCTGCTGAAGCCCACGCCGGAGCAGCAGCAGGCCGCTGTGGCCGCTGCGGCGGTGCAACATTTGTTCAACTCGAGCAACGCAAGCGCCGTCCAGCGGTTCGCGCCTCAAGCGCCCATCCTTTCGCCCTTTACTGCACAGCTCAAGGAAGAGCCGACAGCGCAGCACAGTCCCAAGAGCGATGTAGCCACTGCCTATAATAACAACAACAATAATAACAACAATCACATAATACCAAACGGCAGCAAGGTGGCGGCCGATGAGCTTACGAAACGATTCTATTTGGATGCAGTGCTCAAGTCTCAGCAGCACAGTCCGCCCCCGTTGGCGACCAAACTGCCCCCGCACAGCAAACAGGACTATTCCATATCGGCGCTGGTCACACCCAACTCGGAGAGTGGGCGGGAGCGTGTGAAGAGCAGACAGAGTAATGGCGAGCTGGACGAAGAGGATGGAGATGGCTCAAGCGCGGCTAAAGTCGCTGAAGATGAAGAGGAGGAAGATCTAGTGGTGTCCATGACGCCACCTCGCTCACCTGCTCAGCTGACACAAGCAGCCGCAGTGGGTGAGGAGCGGACAGAAGCACAGGATAACCCCATAGACCTGAGCATGAAAGCCACCGGCAGCTGCGTGAGTTCCAGCACGCTCAGCCGCAAGAGCAGCGCTCACGACAGTGATAGCAACGAGGCGAGGCTAGATGAGGAAGAGCTGGAGGTGTCAGCCGATGGCGAAAAAGGAGCTGATGCTCAGCGGGATGGGGATGGGGATGGGGAGGTAGAGGAGGAGGAGGACAACAGTACCACAGAAACCGTCAAGACTAGCATTGAACAGTGCAACAATAACAATAATAACAACAACAAAAACAACAACAGTAGCACAAGTGATAATGAAGCGACATCGGATCAAGTGGGCCTGGGACTGGTAAAGCGTAAGTTGGATGAGTTGCACAGAGAGGTCTGCGAATCCAATAGCAAACGCGTTAGGACTGAGGTCGCACTGGACGCGCCCGTCAAGATGGCCAACTCCAATGCGCTCGATCTAACCACAAAGGTTTGAGAAAATGGCCGCCATCAAGTGCTCAAAATTTTAGCCCCCCGCTATGCCAAAAATGTCCCAAAAGCCATTCAAAAATATATAAAAATTCTATAACCAAAACCTTCGCTTTGATTAACAAGCTCTATTTAAGAGTTTGTTGCGTGCCGCCATTGTTGTTGTTGCTGCTGTTGTTATTGTTGCTGCTGCTGTTGGCCATGTTATCACATCGTTTAAAACAACTAACGAAATTGCAAAAATATGCTAAGCCAAACAGCGCACACGTTGAACCATCGATTAGCATAAGAGTCAGCCGCTCAAACAGTCGCTCGGTCGCGTTTCAAAAAAAAAAAAAAACCGAAAAACAGTTCCAAACTATAACAATCAGCGTTGTCTTCGATGTAGTCGCCGTTAATAATATGCAACGAATTATAAACAAATTTTTCGGTTAGCCAAAATACATATATACAAGTATTTATTTTTTGTAGAACGCACAAAGGTGACAGAAGACAACAGATCAGCAGGCGGCTGAAAAGAATAGCAATAACAACAACAACAAAAACAAAAACAATAGGCAAGAGCCTAAACTGTAGCAGGCGAATAAAAAAATGCGGCAGAGATTCGTTTATTTATCTGTATTTGTATCTTTTGCATAATGTAGTAGTGGAATTTGTAATATTAAGTTTCGTTTTTAAAAGAAAATTTATACTACCTACGAGTATATACTATACATACGATTTCTTAAATAGGCACTCAAATATTTAATATGTAGCTTCAAATTGTATAAAGCGTAATCCGAGCTGTATTCAATCTAAACAAATTCATTTTTATAGCGAATTTCAAAGGCATAAACTACAATGTGTTTGATTGCTTTAGTTTGCGAAAGATATTAGTCACAATTAGCAAATTTTTATAGTTATACAAAAACATAAAATTACGTTTAAAAAAAAAAAAAAAAAAACACACACAAAAACGAAGCACAAAGTTGTATAGCATAAATTATTATTATTATTATTGTATTTTGTATTTTTTATTATTTTTATGCAAATTTGCGCATAACATAAAAGACATAAACTAAACGGAATGAAAATCAAAATCAAGATGAAAAGAGAAATATTATTGATATCAAATAAATAAAAATAAATATTTAGATGAACGATTTTTATGACTCTGTGTCTGGGATTGGTCGACGGAATTTAGTGGTGTGCGTGTATGTTGCTGACTGCGAGGCGAAGTGGGTCAGAAAGCATATGCATATAGTCATGAGGATGGAATTTTAAAAATGGTCACGTTAAAAATGTAAATCAGATTCCAGTCATGGGAAACTTGAAAATGACAAAATGAAATCAAGAACCCCACACTAATTAAGAGAGTTTAGTACCTACTCGTAACTACCTAAATATACGATTTTAAAGAAACATATCTGCAATATTCAAAATGGGCTATAACTGTTGATACTATACTAGGGTTAATGCCAACAGTCCCTTCTTTATCCTGTCTAGTAAATGGTGTAGGATTGAATGAAGAATGTGAAAATTGTAATCGTAATTAGTTTTCTAGTAACTTGCAAAGAGTCATAATTCGTCCTCCAAGACGCAAAGTTAAGTTCTGCAGAAGGACGTGCGCTTGGAACAAGATACTCTTCTCTCATACCCATGAGCTAACGAAGCCATTTTGTGGACAACAATTTAAATACGTTATCATTAATTAAATATTACACTTAAATGAAATACATTTTTGTTAAATCATTCAATTATCAGACAGTTTACAAACATTTTCTGATGTAATATTTGAACATTTTTGAAGTTTATTACCTTTATAGTAAGTTTTTAGATTGTCAAAACATGTTGCTTAAAAATAGTTGAGAAGTTTCCAAACTGTTAATAAAACACATAGTACTTGTATGCAAGTTATGGGAAATTATAAAATTATAAATTACTTCTGAAAAAAGTTCCCAAGTGAGGTGAATTTTTATAATCTGCCAAATATAATATACCCTTAATATTTAAAAAAGAAGAAAAAAATTATTTTTTAGAAAATGTGTGGTTGTTCAAAAAAAGCGTGTCTTCCTATTCTACAAAATATATTGCCATATTTTTGGTATGTAATATTTTATTTGAAGGAATAATCATTCTCTATTATAGTTAATTAACAGGAAGAATGTTATGTATGTTATTTTTAAACTTTAATCAAGCATCTCTGCCTGTAAGTCATTGCTGCTACTTGGTGGCCACAGAGCAATGTTTATTTGACTGCGGTTGGTGGAAGAAAGAGAAAGCGTCGGATAAGGACGACTTTCGCAAAAGTCTTAAGGACCATGATTTACAGATATGCAACTAAAAATAAATATAACTAAATGTCGAGTGACGTATCTTTGCGAATTTAGGCTTACTTTCGACATACTATCGTTCTACTTTTGCTTAAAGATTACAAATATAAGTTATACTTATACAAAAATTATGATGAGAGAATGATGAATCTATGAAATATGTTGCCATTCAGTTATTGCAGCTTAAGTACTTTTACAAAATCTAGTTTTCCTTTTTCTGAGTCAATCACGACCACCCATTCATCAGAGCTCATTGTGCTCCCTCTCTGGTTCATGGCTAGAAAAACGTTGTCATTGGCACCCACCCGAGCAAGTGTAACAGTCATGACTGGCAGTTGGTTTGCCAAAGTAGAAAAGGAACAAAAGAACGAGCAGCCAAAATGCAATTCCCACAAAACGACAAGCACATGGGAGAAACCGAGCCACACTCAGTGCCAAAGCAATGCATACCAAAGCCAATCAATCCGAAATCTATTTCAATCAATCTTTGCGTAATTGTAAATACTTTCAACATATTTCGTTGATGTTGCCACGGCTTGTTGCCTTGGCCTGACAGTTCCGCGACATTCGTCTGCAGCTAAGCAGCGCCTTGGACAGACTGATAGACGGACAGAAGCGACAGACAGTCGACGGGCGACAGTCGATAGTCGGATAGACGGATAGTCGGATAGTCGTCGACAGTCGACAGCAAATGGCGCGAAAATTATAGCAAATGCTAGACCTGGGACCTGATTTCGTTTCTATTTATTTCACACTTGAATTGATGCGCAGCAGCAGATTGACATTTTGCAAATGCTCAGGCAGCGCAGTCGCAGTCGCAGCTCACTTGAAAGCAATTGGCGGCAGTCGGCAGTCAACAGAAGCCCAGAGCGACAAATGCTGGCAGCAGGCAGTCTTTGGACTTAAATACGTATTCGTAGTCGTATTCGTAGTCGTATTCGTAGTCGCAGTCGAAGTCAAAATCCGAATTGGAATTGGAGTCTTCGATGTCGTCTGCAGGCTTGGCCGCCTCGCCGTTGCTGCCACGACTGCTGCTGCACTGCTTCAGTGCTTCACTGCTTCAGTGGTCCAATGCCGCCTGCCAGACGTCAGACGTCAGACTGACGCGCACAGCTTGACGACTTGACGGGTCGCATCTAGCAAGACGGCCGACCAAGCTCAAATGGTGGGGAGTCCCTTCGCGCATTGTCAACACTGAATAGTAGTGCAAATAAATTTCAATTGCGAGACACATTTTCCCACTGACATTGTTTGACACTTCGACGAAGGCGACTAAGCGACGACTGCTGCGACTGCTGCGACTGCTCTGTACAAACGAATTTGCATGCAAATGCGTTCAACGCGTTCGCCTGAAGTTTATTGTTTGATCTCTGAAGATTGCCTCAGCTCTGATGCGTGGTAGAAGAGCCAACACCCAGCGTAGTGTAACTTGCTAACAAGCTCAAGCAGCAAGCAGACGCACCCAGACAGCAGCTACTACTACTCGTACGTGTGCCCTGCCGACCTCCCCTTACCACTTACCACTCACCTTTCATCTATTTCTCTCTCTGCCCGCTTATATGCTCCAAATCCATTAAGTGTTGCGCGCTTTTATTTGCGACCCACTCAGTGACGCCGCTGCCATTATGACGGCTACACCCTAATATCGTCTGAGTTCCCCAGCATGGGTAAGTGAATTAAAAATAAAAATAAAAAGAAACCGTCACATTCTGCAAAATGGCAAATAGGCTACTTTCCGCACCTACGAACCAACAGTACTCACAACAACAACACCAACGCTTAAACACACCAAGGGGAACTCCCAGGTCGCTAGCACGCATGCCCAAGCCCAATTTTTTGCTGTTGACGGCGAGTTGTGCCCATTTCATGCACCAATATTAACACCTAACACGACAAAACTAGGTAAACTAGTGTGAGCTGGGCCCGAAACCATGAGAGAAGACCACAGAGAGACGAGCAGCCTCCAGCCCCACATTTAATGCATCTTCTCGCTTTATATTGAACAGACATAAAAGCTGTTGTAACTAATACGCCCACAACTTTTGCCCCGAGCTCATAAATAAATGGTTATTGTCACTTGACTGGCCCATAACAAGCACAAATGGAACGGAAATTGCGCAATGAATTTAACGACAACTGCAGGGAAGAGAAATGATTCGGACAAGTTAGCCTCTGCCTCAGGGATAACCTCAGATAACCAACAAAAGTATTTATTACTTACCATTGAATTGAAAAAAAAAGGACAAAAGAAGTTACGAAACTCTTGTACTTCGATGTGTCAAAGAAATAGCTCAAACTAGACGATAGATCTCATTTTCAATAGAGATAGGAAAAAGCCTCCTGGGCACCATGGAAACCAAGCCACAGCACCAACTTCAAGCACAAAATTCCACAATTGCTTGAGAGAAAAAGTAGTTTGCATTTAATTTGAAATTAGGTTTTAATTATGGCTGCAATATTTTATTTTTTATAACTTTTTTATTTTAAAAAACTCTTTTATAAAATAAATGTTTTACAACTATTTAACAATTTTCAAACCTTGTACCTGAAAGGTATAAAAATTAAGATTAGGTTTCTGAAGAATAAAGCATCGTCAAACCCATAACGTATGTATAGTATATATATTCTTGTACGCCTAGATTTCGAAAACTGTAGAGCCTACATTGACCAATCCTGGTAGACTCTCCTAGTCCCACGAGCTTATGTTTCCGTTTGACTTAACATCAGTAACATTTGAGTAATCAAAGCATTTTTGCAAAGATCCTCTAACTTAAGTAATTCGATGTTCTAAATATTTTATTTCCATTCAACATCTTGGAGAAGTACTATTGTTATAAGCTCGCTTTTTTTACTTTTGGCGGCACTTTAAAGTTTTTAGCTAATTCTTAAGATAGATCTTAAGTTTTTGTTTTGTTTTTGCTTGTTTTTAATGAAGAAACACAGATTGTCGAGTTCCCTCAATTGTTATTATTTTACCTGCTCATTTAATTTTGTAAGAGTCAAGTCAACTTTGATTTTGTAATTTTGACACTGATCATATAATTGCAACTAGTAGCATCTTCACAATAATTTCAATGAAATAAGAAAGTGGAGACGATTCAGTTTCAAAAAGTACTGCAACGCAAAAATTATGTATTCATTAATTAAGCAAATGTGGAACAAGTGAAACCATTAGAAAGACCAAACAATCAACTATTTTATTATGTAGTTCCTTTGTAGAAGCCATAACGATTACAAGAGCGAGTTACTGGAAAAGGAGAAAGACCAAAAGGGGCCCTTATATGTCGGCAACATTTAGGAGATATTCGGCAACATTGAAAATAATAACTTATCTTTTGGAGCAAATACCCTTTTCTGTTAAAATTTTTTTCTGTGACAAATGTGTGAACTGTGGGTTGTTTACTTGTCACTATTACGC